TAATTTCACGTTTATAACCCCCCTGTTTAATAAGATAAACACTATTTATCTTGTAATAATGACATATAAAGTTACAAAAATCAGATTATTTCACGTTTGTAAACTCCCTGTTTAATAAGACAAACACTATTTTTCTTTTCATTTCATTTTCTGTTTAATGAGATAAACACTTTTTTCTTCTCATTTCCTTTTCTGTTTAATAAGATAAACACTATTTTTCTTCTCATTTCCATTCCTGTTTGATAAAATCAACATTTTTTCTTCTCATTTCCTTTTTTGTTTGATAAGATAAAATTTTTTCTTCTTATTTCATTTTCTGTTTAATAAGATAAACACTATTTTTCTTCTCATTTCCTTTTCTGTTTAATAAGATAAACATCATTCTTCTTCTCATTTCCCTTTCTATTTGATAAGATAAACACTTTTTTCTTCTCTTCTCCTTTTCTGTTTAATAAGATATACACTTTTCTTTTTCCTTGCCCCCTAGTGGCGGCAGTAAGTTGGAAGGTTTGTAAGGCTAAAAACTGTGTTTCGATACCCGTGGTGGCACAGCACAGATAGCTCTTTGGGTAGTTTTGCGCTTAACTACAAACAAACCTTCTCTATGTGAATCATTAAAAAGTTTTTTCTGAATTCTTTTTATATTTGATAAATTAAGCATTTATTTTGTGTTTTGCATCTTTTTAACAACAAATGTCTCTACAAATGATACTTTAATCTCCAAGCACCGTACTAAACATTAAATTCAATAACAAAACAAGAGGGAATCTTCAATAGCCGCGGCTGTAATTATATCTCAAATCGGTCAAGAGATGGACCTACGAGCTAAAAGTTTGTACTTGAAAAAATACATAAACAATAAAAACAAAAAACTCGGAGCCATTCTGCACTAATTCGTACTACAAAATTTATTCTAGTCACAGAAATTAAAGATGCCGATTAAAATTGTTGAAGAACGCCATCTGTGGGTTATAGAATAACTTATTTATTCATTTACTTTATCTTTTTCTCTGGAAACTGAATATTTCAATTTCCTCATTAGGCGCAAAATAAAAAGGAATGACCGCAGTTGGTGACAGGGAAATTGGTTAATGATAATAAAGTGTAATTCTACAGTAGATCTCTTTCTACTCTCAGTGGCAAACGTTCTAGTAAACTCGAGACAAAAAAGAAGGAAACTTTGTTCCGCCCTATAGTTTGAAGGATTAAGTCAAAAGAAGCACTTTCATTATTGTACAGTTGACCCCTCGGGGGCAGGTGAGGAAAGGGGAGTACTAGTGGCCCAGTTTAGATGATGCTTTAATGCAGAAGAAGAAGAAGAAAAAAATGTTTGTGGATTTTTCTCTTTCCCTTTCTTTGCCCTACATGTCGGAGTATATAAGTCTCTGAGAAAGAACCAGTGAGCAGAGACTAAGTTATTAGTTAGTAAGAACTTCGAAGTATTCAATCTTTCTGAAGATGTTTTTAAAGGTAGGTTTGAATTCCTTGTTTAAAACTAAACCATTCAAGATAAACGAACAGTTTAGGCTTTATTGGTACCGTTTTGTACTTTTATAACTAGAGAACCAGCAAGATTATTAGTAGATAAATATATAAGTTTAGATCCATTGTTGTGGAACAACTGAAGAGGATACGCGATTGTATTGAACGATCTTGTTCTTCTGTATTAGTGGTTCAAAACTTTATTTCAGCAAGCTTACATTTTGAAACCACCCCCAGTGGCACAGCGGTATTTCTACGGACTTACAAATCTAGAAACCGGTTTCGAGCACAGATAGCCCATTGTGTAGCTTTGTGCTTAACTTCAAACAAAAGAAAACATTTTTAAATTGCGCTACCTACCGGCAGTTATAAGTTATCAAGAACTGGGGAAAATATGTCCTCGAAAATTTTCCATTTGTGGATTTTTGGAAGAATTTTAACCAAATTTTACACGATGTTTCTGTCCTGGTTTAAAATATCAATACACTTAATTTTCAATACGTGGTATCTAAAATCTATAGTTAGACTGTAATACAAACTATAGTAACAATACCAATACACGTGATGTCTAGGAGCTACGCTCTCCGATGGCTTAGCGATAAGTCTGCCGGTTTATGACGCTAACACTTAGGTTTCGATACCCTTGGTGGGTTGAGCACAGATAGCCAATTGTGTATCTTTGTGCTTAACAATGACCAAACCAAGTATACATCCAGACTACATCATATGATATACTAATAACACCAGTTTCTATGAATTATGATCAGAGCGTAGTACAGACTATATTAACAATACCAATACACCTGATGTCTAGTAGCTACATCCATACTACATCATGTAATGTATTAATAACATCAGTGTCTGATAATTGTGATCAGAGTGTAGTACAGACTATATGAACAATACCAATACATCTGATGTCTCGGAACTACATCCAGACTATATTACATAATGTATTAATGATACAAATTAAAGACTGTTAAGTTATATATATATGCTGCTTTATTTGCATATTATTGTATAAGTACTTTTATGTAAGCAAGTACATTAGGTAATGTGTAATGTTATTCTATATGAAACCTAATGCTATAAGTAACTTTATGTACGGTTATTCTATATGAAACCTAACGTTATATGTAACCTTGTGTAATGTTATTCTATATGAAACCTAACGTTATAAGTAATCTTGTGTAATGTTATTCTATATGAAACCTAACGTTATAAGTAACTTTTATGTAATGTTATTCTGTGTTAAATTTTCTGATAACTGTGTAACCCTTGAAATTAATCTGTGAGTAAAAAGAAATATTTGTAAAACAGCATTATTCCGTCAAATAACTCACCGTATTTCATGTGTTTATGCACACTAGGTCGCGCTGCTGTTCCTTGTGGCTTGTTCCATCCCATCTGCTCGAGCAGAATCATACGGAGTCCCACTTCCGGTTCCTGCATATCAGCCACCTCAACTGTACAAGCCAAGAGCTGTTATCGGACCTGACGTATACGAGGTGCGTAGTGCACGTGCGACCCTATGAAACGTGAAACAGACCAAATCCGGGAAAATTACAACCTAAGGACTCAAACTTTAGATTTTACATTTTCAACAGTAAAATATTGGATTTCTTCACTGTCATAATAAAACTTTGATTTTATGGACTTGTTATTAAAATAAAGAGACTGCAGTTAGTGGCTTAAGAACTTTGTAATATTTGGTTTATTTAACAAACCCTTAAGACCGCTGTTTTGTATCATAGAATGTTAAGTAACTATTTTTTGTTTCCTTGTCGCTAGGAGTCTCCAAAGCCTTACAACTTTGGCTACCAGATTCAAGACGAGGCTGGCAACACTCAAGAACGGGAAGAATCAGGAGACGAGGCCGGCAATGTCCAAGGGAGCTACGGTTACACCGATGGTTTGGGGCTCTATCGTAAGGTACAATACGTGGCTGACACTGAGGGTTTCCGGGCAACAATCGAATCCAATGAGCCCGGTCTTACTAACGCTAATCCAGCTAACGTCGAGATTACTGCCCAAGAACCTCCAGCTCACATTCAGGACGCTTATTCTGCTCCAATCAAAGCCGTTGGATTCAAAGGGCCCGCTGACCGCAGTTACAGCGTGCCTCGTCGTTTCTTAAATCCTCGACCTGTAGCCCCGTCCCACATAACCTTGCCCCACCCTGGAGCCTCTCCTCTCAGATCAATCAGTCCAACTAGACTCGCCGTGCTGCCTCACGGAACGGTGGGTTCTAACCGAGTTGGCGTTTCGCCTTTTACAGTGACCAGCTTTAAAGGCCCTTCAATCTCCAGTCCTCGTTTTCCAAGTGTGACCTCACGCGACTCAGAAAACTATTGATACGCTGGATGAATTATGGTGAAAACACGCCGTACCGAATGTATTATACAGTTTAACGACACAGTTCACATGTTGAAACTGACAGAAATGTATTGTCAATGGCTTTTTTTTCTGCGTTGTACTATTTTGCTTTCCATACATGGAGATTCATATATATATATATAACTGCGTTTAAAGGCTTCAATTTAATTAAAAAAATATATAAGCATTTTGATTTTCTACCTGTTGATGTTTCGCAGCTTTCATATATATTTTTATAGCTATGTATTAGTTAACACATTAAAACGTTATAATTAATGTAATATAATATTAACATTTTAACTGCTTGTTATTTCTAAACAAATTAAACTGTTGTTATATTTTTTATGTTATTATTATTATACAATATTTTTTATGAATAAATGATTCAGCTACCCTGCACATAGTTATTGACTGATTTGTATATTTATGAGAAGAAGGGTATGTTCAAAGTATCATGACAGAAACGCCAAATCATTCTTAGCTCTGTTAGTTTCAAACGATTTTTAACGTTTTTTTTTCACAACTCTTTTACATGTTTTAATCAATAAATTCAAATTAACTTTCAAACAAGCGATAAGTAACAAATATTTTGATCCTAACTTTCATGTTATTAGAACTCCTTAAACATTAATAAATTATCACGAACTTCGAAATTGAATTAATACCAACATTTACATTTTATTCTTTCTTAACTTAGAAATTTCCTCCACTTATTGGTTAGTATTTGTTTAATTTAAAATTCACACTTAACGAGTTTTTTTATTGTTATAAAACAAATGTCTCTATTGCATACAGAAAGTACAAGAAATATGCAAAAAATGCAGCTTCTTAAAAAAAATGACTGAAATTAGGTTTTGTTTTAATTCATCCTAAAAATTCAGTCCCCCGGTGGCTCAACGGTAAGTCTTTCAGCTTACAATGCTAAACTCTAGTTTCGATACCCGCGGTGGCAGAGCACAGATATGTCATTGTATATTATTGTGCCAAAAAACAAACACAAAATATATACT